GCTCCCCCCTCCTCCTCACCCCCCCCCTTCCTTCCTCCCTCCTCCTCCCCCCCTCCCCCTCCCCTCCTCCCTCCTCCTCTTCCTCCTCCCTCCTCCTCTTCCTCCACCCTTCGAACACCCTTATCGTTCCGCTGATCCATCCCTGACTTCATCAACCTCTCTGCTTTCAGCTCACCAGCATCGATGCAGAACTTCAGTCGTCTCCTCACTTCTTCCTCCAGCTTCTCCCCCCCACTCCTCCTCATCCATCGCACCAGCCCGGCTCCCACCAGGTCCTCGTTCATGCTCACAAAGTCGTGTGGGTTCTTCTTGTCCACGAAACTGCCACACATCAGAACACGCGGCAGCGAGCCTCCACCACCACCATCTCCTCCTCCACCTCCTCCTCCTTCCCCCCGATTATCTCCTCCTCCTCCTCCATCACCTCCTCCTCTTCCATCACCTCCTCCTCCTCCTCCTCCTCCCCCACTCACCCGTATCGCAGTAGGAGGGCAGCACTCCCAAGCTCTCCATACGTGTTGAAGATCTCACTTCCTCCCTTGACGCTTCGGACCACCTCCATGCTTAACATGCCTCCATCCTCCTCCTCCTTTTGCTTGCCTCTCGTGCTCTCCTGCCTTTGTGCGTTCAACCTCCTGCTTTGTTTCTTGTCCTCCTCCTCCTCCTCCTCCAAGTTTGTTGTATCTTCATCCCCTTGGAACTCGTGTCAGCATGGAAAGCTGGAAGTACGAAAAGATGTTTTGAACAATCAGAGATAAGCTGATGAGGAAGAGGTTGGTGGAGGAGAGGGGGAGAGGAGGAGAAAGGCAGAGGGTGGGGAAGAAGGAAGAGGCTATAGCAGGGCAGAAAGGAGGAGAGTAGAGCACAGAGGAGGGGGAGCGTAGGAGAGAGAAGAGGAGGAGGGAGCACCTATTAGATGTAGATTTTCTCTATCCGTGAGATGGTTGAAAAGATCCGCAAGAGGGATCATGCCTGGCCCATGGAAGCTGGCGTACAGAATGAGACAGAGGGATGAACGAGAGAGGAGGAGCAGGAGGCTGAGACGATGGGAGGGATGGAGGGAGCGACAGGGAGGGATGGATGAAGGGAGGGAGGGAGGGAGGGAGGGAGGGGGGAATGAGCGAGGAAGAAGCGGGTAGGAATGAAAGAAACCAAGGAGAGGAAGGGAGGGGAAGAGGAAAGGGAGGAAGGTGGGATTCGAAGGAAGGGAGCATCTAGAGCGAGTTCAGGGGTAGAGGAGCAGGGATGGTGAAGAACTCTTGGATGACAGGGGAAGGCAGTCGACGACACTTGTCGATGGCGAAGGATCGAGAGGATAGGAGGGATG